CAGTCTCACTGCAGCAAACTTCCTTCCCTGTAGGAGTAAGGATCCAGAGAAGGTAAGGGAAAGGACAAAGTATCAGAGACTTCAGAGGATGGCCCAAGGGGAGGAGGGGCTGCCAAGAAAGGACAGGCACACTAACTGGCACACTTTGAAAGAAAAGAAGGAAACCCTGCAGTCTTCTAATTCCATAAACAGTGAGCTTAAGCCGATCATAAATAAAACTGACCTAAGATAAAAGACCCGGAGGTGACCAGAGGTTCCAAAAGAAAGAGGGGTGGGGGGCAAGCAGATGATGGTGGTGAGGCGTTGTTTTAAGAAAAGTAACTTTGTTGTGATCCAGTTCACCAAGGATGAAGCTACAGAAAGCTTCTGGGAGCCATAGACCTATCCTGGAATGGAAGTATCCATCCCCATCAAATTCGTATGAGTGTCTAACACACAGAGGACAGCACACTGGTATGATGCCAATTTCAAGTTTCAAACATCAGCTAAAGATAATCACCTTCAGAGCTTGTCCCTAAAGAACAGGCACATATTCCACTGCTCTTCATGTGAGAATGAGGGACAGACCCTTTCAAGGCTACATCATAGTAACTTAAGGTGAAAATTTGAGAAAAGTAACATTTTCTTATACAAAACATACTGCAAAGCAGTGTAAAACGACAGGTTTAAGAGGGAAAATGAGAGGGAAAGAGGAAGGGGGGAGGGGAGAAAAGAGAAAAGGGGAAAGAGGGAGGAGCTAGACAGAGATATAGGAGGGGAGGGAGAGAGGGAAAGGGAGAAGAAAGAAAGGGGGGGAGAGGGAGAGAGCATGCAAGGGGAGAAGAAGCTCACCAGTGGAAGGTAACAAATACTGCAGATGTGCTGTTCTCATTAATAAACAGTAAAGCACAAAGAACATACAAACTGACTTGAGCAAGAGGCAGAAATAAAACCATGAAGGCATTGTTCTCTTATTTCTCTGAAAACAGAAACCTAAATGGAATTGACTGAGCTTCGTGTGGGTATGTAATTTTTCTCACCATAAACAGACTCTGTGTTTTCAGAACAAGCATAGGATTGGAAGGAAATTTGGAGACAATCAAATCCAACATGGCTCCTTTAAAAGATAAAGATACTTATGCTGGCGATCAGTCACTTGTTGCCAGTCGTTGAGCAAAGGAGCTTTAATCCAAACCCCCCAATAACCAAGCCAGGCACCTTTCTGCTACACAATGTAATTTTTAAATCATCAGGACTGGGATAAGAAGGAACTCTGGCCTACAAAGAGCAGAGAAAGGGGGAACACCACACAGAAAGTCTATGAACAATTTCCTAGCTGTTTGTCAGATTGTCATGTTTAATACAAGGTCACAAACCCAACTAACCAAGTCCTCCCATTCTTACATGTACTAAAGGAACGTTAAAATGTTGTGTGAACTCAATACAAGTTAAATCTTCATCAGCTTCTAAACATAACGGGGCCTTAACCAGGCTTCCTAAGTCCCCAGCGCCAGTGAAGCCGTAGCTTTATAAATACCATGGCGACAAGAAATGCTGTCTTGTCACATCCAAGCCAGATAACAGCTGGACTTTAAAAATAAAATTTTGAAGACATTTGCCTTTTATATTTCTAATTTCTGTTTGCCTTGCTTATGGTTTTGTCATTTGATTTTGATGAGTGGTTAATACACGTGCGCAGCTGCCTTTTTGGGCGACCTTTTCCCTGTTGCCTCCATGCCCAGAGTGGGAAGCAGGCCTTCAAGCTGCTTCTACGAAATACCATCATTTTCAGGGCTGGCAGGCACAGTCCTGGGAAGCATGTCCAGGCAGGGCCCATCTTTGGATTGACTTACTTTTGTACTTAAGAAGCCTCACAGGAGGGATGAGACATGCGAGAAGGGCACAGCCCTTTGAGATGGCTGTTCCACAGCTAGAGGGAACTTGGAGATGGCTGTACATGGATGGAAGGAAGTGAGCTCCCAAGCTAGAGGCATAGCTCACCTTTCAGCTCAGCCTATTTAAAGAATTTGCCCTCTGGGTACTTGGTAGAAGACCAAGAAGTCTTACTCTTAAAGTCCTCTCTCAGTGATGATAAGGTACCGCTTTCGTATGTCAGACTTACCTTTGAATCTTGTATTCTCTCACTAGACCATAAGCTCAAGCTGCTGAAGGGCATCACTATTTAACTTCCCATGATTTACCCAGGGTCTAGTTCAGGGGACTGGTATACCACAAGCACTCAAGAAATGTTGGCTGATTGTTTTGTTGAACCATGGGCTTAGTGGCTGCGTAACTACACTTGGTTGATGTTACCTTGATACCCCAGCCCTTTTCTAATCTTCATGCTGAGGGGAGTATGAAGCAGAGTAGAGAGAATAGTATGTGTACCTGCTAACTATCCTGACTTTAATATGAACTGTAACTCCAGCAGGATTTGCAATCAGTGCAGGCTTGAACAGATGCCAGGAACTAGCCTGGAGTCAGCAGAAGGCTGCTCCCATCCCAGAAGTCCTCACAAAGGCACTGCACTGCTGTCCATATTAGTTCAGGTAACTTGACTCCATTCATGAACTCACAGTCCCCCAGAGGCACATGAGGTCTCAATGGCGACTCTGGGCAAGCTTCTGAAGGGAGGTTTTCACACGCTCCGTAAGCTCCTCGGCCACTACAGCCTGTCTACTGTTACACTCATCAGCATGCTGCTCCGTGTGATGGGGTAACATGAGAACTGATGTATGGTATGACCAGCTATATTTAGGGGAGAGGAAATGGGCCATACTGAGGAAGGTCACAAGGAGTTTGTTCAGAAAACTGAAGACATTACAATTCTCCAACTATACAGAGGTCTAGTCTGGAAGCAAGAACCTGAACCTTCCATCCAGTTTTAGTTCTATCATTACTTGCATTGAACCTATAGCAAGTTATTTAAAATTTTCAGCCTCAATCTTTTAATCTGTAAAATGAGAAAAAATAATACGAGCTAGGTGTTATGGAATATAGATAGTATTTGGGAGACTGAGGTAGGAAAATCATATGCTCAAGGTCAGCCTAGGGTATATAATAATAACAACAACAGAAACAATAACAACAACAGCAACAACAACAACTTCCTCAAAGAGTATCTAACAATTATATGAGAAAAGGCTGTAAAAATAACAGATCCTCTGGCATATGAAAAGAAAAAAAGTAATTAGGAAAATGTATTTGTATCTAGACGATGTGAGTACTGAGCGGAATTTCCACAACCCTTCTGTTGATTTTCTCTGCTGTTAAGGTATTTATCTTTTTATAATGGCCAATAGATCCATTCACACAATCACATCAAATTGATTAGCAGCATTACTGAGAGACAACTCACTATATTTATAACTAATATATAGTTAAGAAATCAAATGAAAGTGGTAGTAGAGAGCAATGGTCAGAAGACAGCTCCACACCTCCTGGTCCACAGCCAGACAAACAGTTGGATGGAACCCCCCAAAGTGCTGGAGATGGTCTAGCTATAACTCATTTTATAAAGCCAAAGACTTAGGCACTCTACAATAGTACTTCCCAGGGAGACTGAGATGGGCCTGATCTGAAACACTTCTTTGCAGACCACAGGCCAACGCTCATGTCTGTGTTGCCTTCAACCTGTTAACCATGCCAACCATTTGGCTGGCTAGACAGAAGCATCTCAGCCCTTGCCAGTGAATGCCTGCTTGTCTATGTGCCTATGATAATGTCAGTATACCCTTGATATACATTCTTCATGGAGGAGAGCAAGTAGAGTCCTGGTTTTTAAGTCCCTTAATCTCTCACTTCCTGCTCATCTTCCTTTTCCTTCTTCTTGTTCCTTTCCTTCCTCTGTGTTGCTTTCTCTCCCCACCCCCTCTCTATCACTCAAGCACACAAATTTATGTATATACCATTCAGAATTTATGTTGACCCTTTGCACCCAGGACTACCCTCAAGAATTAGTATCTCCAACTGACACCGAAACCATGCCTTCTGGAAGCTCTGAAGCCTTGCTCACATCTGCCACCACCCATCTCTTAGTGTTCGTACTCGGGATTTCCAAGCTGCCTGGGGAGGTCCGGTTCAGCTGTTGCTAAGAACTATCTTTGTGTGTTTTTAAGGGATCAGGGTCCTGGAAGAAACTCTGCCAGTACATGGGGAACTAGCAAGACTTTTCCCCTGAAGCTAAAAAAAGGATGCTCACTAGATCTGAGATGGGTAAAGGATCCTGTTACTCTTAAGAGAGCAAATTAATCTTCCCTGACTGGCGGGATGGATTCTGCCAAAGAAACAGCTAACGGGAAAGCCAGTCCCCACTCTGTGATGACACAGTAAATAACCAGGCCACACTGCTGGCAAAGTGCTGACCTAACCTATAAATTGTAACCGGCCTCTGGGGAACGATTTCTGCTGACGGGTGCTTGTGCATTTAAGACAAACAAACAGGAAGCAATGAGGATGGGCATGGAGAGAGCTGCAGGTAGACATCCTGAGAGGGAGGCTGCTCTCTCCAAGCGACACTGAACAGGCTTCAGCCGTGGCTAGTGCACAGGTCCAAAGCTGGGTCTTTCCTAAGCAGTCAGCTGGTGTCTGCTGAATCTCTCAGTTCCAAGTGGTTTGACTGTGCCTGGGAATTACTTTGTCTAGATTTTTTTTTTAAAGAGTTCTTCTTTACAAAGAAGACTTTTTAAAATTATGCTTCTTATTTTTCTTAATGAGAATCCAGTGAAGTAGGTGATATGTAGAGTTCTGTTTAAGGAAATGTAGGAGAATTTTTCACTAAAACTTTAAAATAACATCTTGAGGTACTTGGATTGCTTGTGTTTAGTAACAGAGAATCCAGCAGTGTCTCAGAGCCCTCAACTATAGCCCTCAACTATAATATACACCGAAGACCAACATTTCATTTTTGCCTAGAAAATTCAAATAGTAAGTCCCAAGAATGGTCATAAGGATCCCATGCCTAACTCACCTTTGTAAATGTACAGGTCAGCAGAAAGATAACCTAGGGAAAAGCCACTCACCTTCTGCGTCCTCCGGCCTCGTGAGATCGATGACACCCGGGCCCAGCTTTCCATCTTCACTTGACTTTCCGGTTAATTGAGGACCCAGGTTCTCAAAGCGTGTTCTTTCCTAGGAGAAAGAATAGTCAGAGGACTGTTTTAGTTTCAAGTCGCAGTAGCCACTTGTTTTCTTCCAGTTTCTCTCTTGCTTAATGGGCATAGAGTGGCCTTAGAAACACCACATCCAACCCACTCACACTCTGTGATAGCTGCAGGCTGAGCATGTCACAGACAACATGGGTGATCTAGGAGTCTAGAAGGCTGAACCTGTAAGGAAGGGGAGGCCATGACAGGGCATGTGCCAGAGCTGTTCTCCTGTCCTGCCCCTTCTGTTGGATTTGCTTCTGGAATTTACAAAAAATGCAATGGAGAGAGGGGCCAGATGTGCAAAAATTTAAGAATGTTCTAAAACTTACTGCTAAATTGAAGGGGAGAACAACCTTTCCATCTAGAGATCATTATTTTGATCAGTAAATCTGGATAAAGTACAAATTAGACCTCTGTGTACCAGGATTTGAATGTATTAAAGTTGGTAGAGTGGACATCGGCATTGTTCCTTTGCTTGGAACAATTCTTTCAACTGTAAGTTCCTAGGAACTGAAGAGTGTGTGATTCCCACCCAATAAAACAAAACAAAACAAAAACCAGGAGGGTTTAACACCCTTGCTTCTTTAGGAGAGAACCCCAAAGGTGGTTGCTTGTTTACTAGTTCCAGTAAGAGTAGGAGTCTGGGGTACACAATGGAAGAAGCCCTGCCCCTCTCAGATCAGTGGCTGGGGCGCACTGGTCATCCTGAATGTAGTGGGGTGATCTGTACAAACTGAGCACAAGAACCGCGTTCTCACCTCCTTCTCCATGTTAGTCTCTAGACTCACACTTGGCTTTGTGTTTTCCTTATGAATGAATGGAGCCTTGTTTTTTATCACTATGAAATGATATTAAATGGCATGTCAGCTTGAATGTACAGACATGAAATAGCAGATGCAGCTCCGGGGATGGTTTCTGCATGTTATACTAATGCATTATGCAGCAGTGGAGGGAGTGCTGATTGCTGCTCAGTCTATTGTTCAATGACCTAGTTCTGCATCGAGCATGTTCGGCATCTGATGGAAACATGCCGAGCGCTCTGTTCTGTAAGATGTTTAGAAACTTGGAAATATTCTGAAGGAGCAAACATACAATTACTTGATAGAGGATGTGCCTCATTTGTACAGCCTCACTGCATTTGTGCTTTCTAATACGATTATTTTTGAATATCATTATATTTCTATAATTAATTCCCATCAGTCAAATTGTTGCAGTAAATCTTCCAGTTCCCCTTCGTCAGAGACCACGTTGACATACATCTTCATTGGAAGAAAATGCAGCCTAAGCCCTGCTTTAATCTAGCACTGTTTCTAGGAAAGCTTTGCAACAAAACACCATCATCTAGCCATCGTTTCTCTGTGTAACACGACTTCACCAGTTTCAACAGCAGCACAAGGGGAAACAGCAGCACAAGGGGAAACCTCTGGAAATCAAAACCGAAGTGAATGTGACTCCCCAATACCTTCTCTTGTGAAAGCACAGCTGCAGGGGAACAAACTAACCTAGATGCAGTGCACAACACAGAGACTCCACAGCTAGGAGCTGTGCGGAGCTTCACACGGTCAGGGAAGGACAGCTGCTGTCCATCAGTCCGCTGCTTCTATTTTTGAGTAGTACTTGGGTTGTGATGTTAAGAGGAAGAGTCAAAGGGAAAACTCTGGAAAGCCACCTTAGACCTTTGTCTCTGGCATTGGCCGGCATACTTGCATATGAATGTCCCTGTAATAAGCCTAGAGTCCTTCCTTCTTCTCTGAAGAACAACCTTCCTCTGCATTTTCCCAGCAGGTGGAGGGGGGACAACTTTCTCTAAAACCCACCTATCAATATGCATATTCTAGGGATCTTTCTAGTCATTCATTCTCTTTGATTTTCCTAGAAAATATTCTCAGTTAAAAAAAAGTTTCTGAAAGAGTATCAGTATTTTGACAGAGAAGAAGAGGGGAGATTACATGCCATGCTTTGTAAAAGCCCCAAGACAACAAAGCTTACACGATGATAATATCTTTTCTTTCCTAAAAAGTGAAGTGTGCTGGCAATGCAGTAGTATCAGCTTGTTTTTAATCATAACAAAAAAAAAAACCTCAACCATCTAGGACGTTTCACAACATATTCACAGTGTCTTTGAAGTCAGACAATTTTTCTGACTTCATTGAAAAAAAATTCTTCTGCAAAGACACTTTCCCTGTAAAATATCAATATTTTGACAGAGTGGAAGACAAGGAAGAGCATCCCATGAAATACTGGTTAAATAGGCAGAAAATAAATCAATGATAAAAAGTGGTAGGGGCAGTGGGTTGCATTTTCAATTTGATAATATTAAGCACTGTATTCAAGATTAAAATAGGGCCCTGCAAAGCCAAACCCTTTCATATAAATTTCTACTCAGTCTCCCAGAAGATTTCCTTTTTTCTTCAAAGAATAGCTCAGAATATTTATTTGCCAGCACAGAACCCTAAGACAGGAGGGCCCGATGTCCACCAGTTAGATCTGTGCAGCTGAGCTAAGCACAGATTTATTTACCAGTACGTTGAACACGAGCCTCTTAATGTGACATGGGCATGGATTTGGGCATGGGTGGAGTTTGGAGATGCTTCAGTGTAAGAAGCTGTATCTCTGCCTGTTAAACACCAATGAGCTTGTGCCTATATGGAACATAGATAGTGGAGCTCATGTCCTTACATGTTTATGTGGCAAATAACCCATACCAACCCCTTGAACTAGCCCTCCCCATGTACACAGCTTCAAAGGAGGATAATGTAGACACGAGCAAGAGTCTTCAGTGTAAACTTAACCCCATGACCCGCTCTTGAAATCTCCCTGGTCTTTATGTGGATAATGGGAGTACATGCTCCATGCTGCCCCATGAGCAGACACTCACTTACGCATTGTCAGTCCCAAACACGCAGGAAATGTCGAAGTTACTGGAAAAAATTAAAAGTCAGCTCTGCTGTGTTGTAGGGACTGTTGGCTCTCTAAGTGTTTTGAAATTATGATGTATGAGGTAGATGTTGCATATTAAATAAAGATATTTAAATGATAAAGCCCCGTTAGTGAGAGCTGATGAGTGTAAAATGTTCTAAGCCAGAAGATGGTAGCATCCATCATCTCTCTGTGTCATCAGAGTCAATGATGAGGTGGCCTCAGTGCTGACAGACAGACTCTGATTATTATCCCTTATTTCCAGAGTCACTGAACAAACCACTCAGCTCTTCTGGCATTATTTTTAACTTTGCATTAAATTAGCAACTTTTTCCTGCCTACCGTGACAAGATTGATCAGTTACATCTTGGCACCAGTGGAGAGAGAATGAGTTTAGGGGATAAATAAAACACCAGGTTTTTTTTCTAGTTTAGTTTGTTGCCTCTTCCTGGCAACAAATGTGAGACTGTGATCTGGGGAAGGCACAGAGATGAAACAGTAAGCACACAATAATGGCTTTTCTTTGCACTTAGATAAAAGCTGAATTTTTGATGGGCACAGTATATTTTAATAAAATTTTATATACTGTGTTTTATACACTTATTGGCTATTCCATAATAATGTGTGTGCTCACAGTAAAATTGCTCTTAAATTTATGTGTGTTATTTATATGTTCCCATGTAACAATGCTTTTTGTTGTAAAAAATATTCTGTTTATTAATGTAACTTTACAACCACTGCATCCAAGATCCGTGGTAAATTAATGACATTTTTATTATTTTATAGTGTCATTAAATTTTTACTGATCACTCCATCAAACAGAGGCAGTAAAGGCCGTAATGTAAACTGGGACACTTAGATCAGGCAGCAGGAAGACATTCCATGGAGTCTGAAGAAAACTGCTGGCAATAAATGATATTTATACCATCTTTAAGCATGTGAGACTACTTGGATAAGTTTGGCAAAACCGTGTCAGTAGTAGAGTGGATGGTGTACTTAAATAACAGTTTGCTTGCCAAAGAGACAAGCCACTTTCAAACCATATGCAGGATGACAGATTGTAGCTGTCCCCAGAAAACCAACATATGAAATGTAACTCTGAGCCTCACCTTCCCTCTGGGTCACCAAGGGTGGCCAGCCTGTACTGTGCCTCAAGTCCTTTCAAGGCAGTCCTTTCCCTACAATTGAGAGGGAAAATGGCAAATGCTCAGAGAGCCTTTGTTAGTCACTTTACAAAAGGATATATTTTATTCTAGACCTGTCTAGACAATGGTGCTGAGTACTTTACTCTGGTGGTCTAAAAAGGAGGCACTTACCTACCTTTATTCAAAAGCCTATTTGTACAAATTGTCTAAGTGTGGTGTCACAAAGCAAACAGTTGTGCTTAGGGTGTTATTACCTATACTGTAGTTTTAAAAGGTGAAAAATAATTATCTTGGGTTATTTTTACATGTAAAATACGTGATAATTAAGATGTGCTCAACACCGACTTTCTTAAATAAACTTAAATGTGTGTTATTAACTAATTGCCAAATATTCTACTTATGTATATATGAGATAGTAAATAGAAAATTCTGTGCCCATATAACTGGAATTAGTAGCACCAATCTCTTGCATGGGGAATCTGACATGATTCTTTTTTATGTAAATAAGAATTTTGTTGTTACATAGCCAAATGAGCATTTAAATATTTAAAACATTTTTAAAACCTTTCAGATTTGCAATAAAGGTTATTACCACAGTTCATCAATCACTTTTGTGCCCTCCCAAAACACAGGTATTGCAGTATTCTGAGATACTGCCGACCCTTGAAGTTCCAGCTCTGTGAAGTTATTGAGCACTTAATGATGTCTTTCCATCTTCATCCCTGCTCCAAGCTTCAATCTTTTCTAGACATTTGATCTCACTTTTATATTGGACTAGCTCTTCAATACGGGAACACACCAACCAAAGCTAAATGTAGCAACTGCCCTTACCCAGTATCCCTCCTGACCTTCATCTACACCAATGTGAATTAGCTAATAGTTTCAGTCTCACTTCCTACTTACCTCTTGTCTATCTATT